ATTATATCAGAGATAAGAGAGTAACTGTTATATTTTACTTTTATTGAAAGTATATTTAAATATTTTTCTTTGATAGATTAGGGATTCAATTTATACCTTTTACACATGCTTTGTTTTAAGCTCTTGTTTTCTCTTGGAAATTAGTTGTCATTTTCACAAATCTATGAATTTTTTTCTGAGATGTTTAGTTGCTTTCATCTCTGTAATATTCTACATTTTTTTCCCTATTTATGTTTTCATGATCTTAAAATATTTTCTAGCTTGAACAGCTAGAAAGAGCTTACTTTTCTTGCTTATTACTCTTAAATTTCTCAAATCTATTTTTATCATGTTCTTTAAGATAATTCTTTTTTTTTTCCTTTTTATCTTGCCAATGTTTTTAATTTTTTTCAATGTCATCTCAACTCAAATTTTCAATTGTTATTTCACTTTTGAAGTTTATATCTTTCATCTAACCCATAGCAATCTTTATATATCTGAAATTAAAAACTGATATCAATAATATTTTCCACTATAAATAACCTGTGAGTTTCAGAATAAAATCTTACACGATCAAATGGGTTATTGTAACTATACCTAATAAAAGCAATGTTGAAATTCATTATATATTTATCATAAATATATCCTAAAAATTTTACCAAAATTGGTTGTTTAGTAGCAATTTTATTATGACAATATTGACTTGCATAATAAAATCATGCAGTATATTTAGTAGAAAATTCAAACCTTTGAGGACAAAACATTCTATCACAAAAATGTTAACAATTATGTAAATTTTCTATCAAAGTAACACCAAGTTTTGTCGTTGCATTCATTGGAACAAAGGTTTAAAAATGGAATGTCATCTATTATATTAGCTGAATGCAACAAGCTACATCAGTTTCTGCTTTATATAAAATATACACTAACATTGTTCTGTGGGCACTTTCAGCAACTGACTTTGCTAAATTTCCAAAGAAAAAAAAAATCTAGTTTTTTGTCTATATTTTCTGAGAGAGTTGTTTTAGTGACCTTGGATATTAATACATCAACAAGTCTGAGTATTTGTTTTTAACACCCATACTATTTTTTCTTGTAGAAAAAAAAAAAAAAAAAAAAAAAGTTAAGTGATAGCACAGATTATAATTTACTTAAGAATAATTTTGTATCACGAACTACGGTCCAATATTGTTTGTCACTGAAACATTTCAAAATTTTGAGATGTTTTCTTTAATGATTCATTGACCTGCCAATGAAATAATTTGATTATCCATATTATCATTTACATAACAGTTCTTTTACATGTGCATTGATTCTGCAGTTATTTACTTCCTATTCAAAACAGATAAACATTTTTTTTTACTTTTAATTTCAACATAAGGATGAAATTTCTCAATTTGAAAGAATAAACTGTTTTATGTAAAAAATAGGCAAAATCAATTTAAGATTCTCTATTCTTTCTCCCCAAATAATTTGTTGAAATAAATGATATTCACTTTCAAAATGCTTATGCATATAAGAAAATATACACTGGGATACTTAATTCCCAGCCAATAAATATACAACTTGAATTATAAAAGAAAAACATTTGAACAGATTTTGATTATCACAGATCAAAATCTGGTTAATGAAGATTTGATTAACAAGTCATTCTAAACTCAAAAATACAATTACACTACTATAAATACAAAAAGTTTTAGACTTTATTTTCCATGTTTAACCATCATAGATCTTTAGGGCAACAATCTTAGCAAATTAAAACAAATTTTGTTAAAATAGAGAACAGTAGCTTTGTAGTAAGACAAAAAACAAATTTATGTTATCTCCTCAGTTTGACAACTATATAAAATATATTTGATAAGGCTGAACTATTTTTCTTTACACCCACACACAATACAGAAAAAAATCCATTATCAAATCTTTGAACAAATACATCCAAAAATCATTGAACTGGTGATAAGTATATTGTTTGAAAAACAACATGACAATGAGAACAGACTTACTTAACGGAAATACTAAAAAAACAATACGTACTAATAGTGTATATTGTCTACCTACATATTACAAAAAAAAAAAAAGCATATGCTTCAAGCAGAAGACTATCATCACACGATTGATTGAAAAAAAAAAAAATAAGTTAGTAAAAGTAAATTATAGCAGCAATTACAATACTGATAAAATACATTTTCAAAACGACAGAGAAAATAGTTTTTCGGTAGGATATGTTGCGAATATATATTCATGAGACTTTAAAAGGCAAAAAGAAATAAGGTGACTTGAATTGTAACCAAGAGAACTTGGTAATGTGCCGGCAAATTAAAAACACGTAGCAAGTCGACCGGTCAATGGTATGCAATACGGAAGAAACGTAACTGCTAACGCCCATGTGATGCCTTCACGGTGCTACAACTATTAAGTCATCTAGTACGCTACAGCCGTCAGATGCAAACCGAAAATTTTTTGGGAAGAACGTCATTGTACGAACAACTTAATTTGTCCTATTATAAAAATAAAGCTATAACGTGGAAACTCTTTTTTAACTATTCACAATGTAATGTTGAAAGATTTCCTTCTTGTTTCTAGAGAAAATCCGTTTATGGATAGAAGTTTTATTTTTTAAATTTTAAATATGATTTTTTTATTTATATTAAACTTCTTTTTTCACTAAAGTAGTTTGAAAAAAAAAATTGAATATTCATTGTCTACTCTGTACCCTTACTCTCTAGATTTAAATTAAAAAGACACTGTCAAATTAGTTTAACTTTCAAACAAATAGTGAAAATAATAATAGCTGCATTGAGTAGATACATTAAGTACGGTGAGGATTAAACATACAATGATTCTTTAATTCATTTTCTCCCCATGAGACGTCAGACAAAAAAAAATTTTAAAAAGTGGAAAAATACCAGTCAAAATGAGATTTTTCAGATCAATGGACGTCCTGACCAGAACAAATGTTTGAAGTACATGCTATCAATTAAAGACATTAAGAAAACAAATATGAAAGAAAAAATGGAATATTTAAACCACTATGTCGTAAATGTACCGCCATTGGGATCTCGTGGGTGTAAAGTGTGTGTGTGTGGGGGGGGAGACAAAGACACCCAACAGAGGAAAAATAAACAAGAGATTATTTATACTACAGATACTTATAAAAATTAGAGAATCACCAATTTTACAAGAATGGTAGTAGTGGGCACAATGGGTAAAAGAGGATTTTCCCCAAGGTCAGGAAATCTGTGCTTAGATTAGAACACGGGGTATCTAGTCTTAAAACCAATCTTTATCAGATGAACTGCGATACTCACCAAATAGAGTAAATTACAGAATTTAAAAAAAAAAAAAGGTTGTAGAAATAAAAAAGAAGATGTAAGAAGAAGAAGTTGTAAGACTACCTTAATTGCCACCCTATCGGGTGGCATCATTTAAGCTAGCTCTTGCGGAGGGCTCTTGATTGGCTTCATATTGAACAGCAAGTTTCTCAAGTTGGACTGCATTCTGTCTTGATCTTTGCTATACAACATTGGAAGCTCTTCTGGTTTCTGATTGCTCTAGTGATTCCGAATCCATTACTCTTGTCATGTTGGCTGTATTGGAAGCTCTCCTAGATTCAGTTTATGTGTTTCTAATGCCCTTTCTCTCCTCTTGGAAAGAGCATTGAATACTCTCTCTTGGATGCAGCTTGGTCCGGAGTTGAGTCTCTCCAAGTCTTTGCATTGGAGGTTCTCCTGGATGCTGCATTTTCTGGTGTTTATGATACCCTTTCTTTTGTTAGTATTTGATGCTCTCCTGGATGAAGCTTGTTCAGGAGCGTCCCTATGTCTTTGCATATTCTCAGCATTATAAGTTCACCTGTCTGCCGCTTGATCTGGGTTTTTATTTGCCCGGGACTTTCTTTTCCTCGTTGCAGCTTTGGCTCTTTTGATTGCAATCTGGTCCTCTGTTGGCGGAGATTTCTTTTTGCGATGCATACTGCTGCCGTATGCGATAGACAACAAAAAAACTACAGGACTCAAAATATTTAAGCATTACATTAATATTTAAGCTTACCTTTAAAAGTTCAACGATAATTCTTTCGCCGCTACTTAATTTAAAGACAATTTGATGTACGTAGGTCCTTACTTTCCGTACAAACAATTATTTTTAGTTCATGGGTGACTTTCGCAATTGATTTCGATTATTCCCAAATTTATTTCCAAGTTATAAAAATTGTTATCGTACAAAATAAAAAAAATTACGTTAAAAAAAATCGCCGAAAACAATCGCAGTAATGAAAACTTAAAAATCCAAAATTTCAGGATTGCAGGTTCGGATCCGGCCCGGATTGTTTTCAATTCGCTTACGGAGTCGGCCTGATTCCAAAATGGTATGTTGGGCTACACAGCCTCTAGGAGTAAAGTTGAAAAAGTGTAACACACTGACACTCGCATTTATTATTAGAGATTGTCAAACTGGAGTAGATGTGAATGTTTTCGGATATGGAGAAAATAAAATTTGTGGCTACTAATGAGTAGAAAAAAATGATAAGAGGGGGGAAACTCTTATACGAAAGCGATGAAAAACAAATGGCGATGACGGCGTCGAAAAAGGGAGAGAGAAAAAAAAAAAGGGAAGGAGGAGAGTGACGTCACTGTATATCTATAATTAGACTGATGCGCAGAAGTACACTGCGCATCTAAGCTCAAGAACTATCAACGACGCCTGCGCATTAACGTTATAGTAACAAGCAGAGCTAGTATCTTTTTCTTTATTGCGTACACAGTCTTTACATTTATATTCACAAAAAAGCTTTATAAAATTTTCATTATCGGCCAATCCAAGAGGGAAAGGATTTTAAGTGTAAAATCTTGTCAATTTATTCGGGTATTCAGGATTCTTAAAAGGTCATAGGATAAATTCGAAAACTCATTTCTAGTCATCGAAGTTCGCGGCTAAATACATGAATCGGACTCTGTTTGAATCCACGTGTGGCTAGACAAGAAAGCTGATTGACGGATCCTTTTATACTTGAAGCTGATAAAATGGGGTAAGTACAATATTTGTTCTAACACTTTCATTTTATGTTTAGAATTTTTCATAGTAAAAGTATAATTGTAAAGTAAAAACTTATATAGCTTCGTGAAATGAACATATTTCGAGTGCGTCGATTATTGGCACTCAGTGAGGCTGAGTGTGTGCTCTTACTCGGTTATGGCTGCCGCCACCGCTTTGCTAGCTGACAATAGTAGACAATATCTGCGACCGGGCCACACATTTTTTAGCAGCTCTACGTATAATCTAGTGTTGTCGACTATTTCCGAGACCTAAAACCTCCAAATTATTTATATAATTATGTTTATTGACTTTCAGAGATGATGTAAATGTAAAATTCTTTGTATTAATTGAGTTTTTTAACAATCCAAACGAGAGTCATCTGTAAGTCGGACTGATTGCTCATAATCTTTTCTTCTTCTCATTTTTCCTCCTTTATCCCTCGCCGAACGAGATTCTCCATACGTCTCCCTTCGTCTCTACCTCCGTCTTTTTATTCTCGAATTTACGTTAGCCAACTATTAAAAGTATTCTTTATTTTATGTAAATTACGATCTTTAATTTTTTTTATTTAGTTGAACAATAAGTCTACATACCCCCTCCCCTTCTATTAAATCATTTTTAAATATTTTAGCTGAACATTCTTTAACTATTTAAAAAAAGTAAATCCTCTGCTCTTAATCTTTGACTATATATCCGCCTTTGATCATCTGCAACTTTTTTCTTAAAAATTCGCTAAACACTTAGACACTGTAGAATAATAATTAAAAAAAAAAAATGAATATTTTAAAATGCCATAATGACAATGATGATACAAGAATCGGTATCATTTATTAATTTCCACTTAAACATTTCTTTATTCAATGTTTACGCTAAAAAAATTCACATCAGCGTATATAATTTAATTGTTCATTTCGAACGTTTAAATTTTCAAATTTTAAAAACCTTAAAACTGAATTTGAACTAATCTTTGTATTTCAGTAGTAAAGTTTTTTTCTTGCTGTCAATCCCAGCCGGCTTTAACTCTTCTATTCAATATTTAATATTCTTGATATTTTTATTCGCCTTTATTTAAGCTTAGAATAGATGAACTAACAAAATATTGGGTCGATGGAATATTTAAAATACTCGATGAGTTCCTATAAAAATAATCTATCCAACTGTTGAATATCTCGTGAAAATTTGTGTAATCGTCGTAGTAGTAGTTGTAGCCGGGATTAAAATGGTGTCCGGTAATGAAAGTGGTCTTTAGAGAAAAATAATAAACCTAGCAATATGTTTAATGATAGTCAGTCAAACGTGACTGCACAAATCTAATGCATGCTTTTTATCAGATTTGAATGATATTTTCGTCAGAGTAAAGATTAAAGAGCAGGTTACATTTTTTTTAATGACCGCGATCCTGTTCAAAAGGATGGGCAAAAAAGGCTTTTTTTTTTTTTTTTTTTTTAAATCTAAAATCTAAATCATTTGTTCTTTCTGCAGTTGACCTTTTTTTTTCTTTTAACAGTTCATGTAGCGGCAGTTTCTTTTGATTTCGTTTTACAATATTTCTAAGAAACCTTAAAACTTTAAACAAAAACCATTAAGTAAAATTAAATTTTGGATACATTCCCCCATGTGCAATTAATTTTTTAAAATATTGTAAAATCAGTTATCTGAAATTACCGGACAAAAAGATTTTATCTTTAACATACGAATTCAAGTTCCCAATCAAAACTTGTCAAATTATTTCTCATTTTGATAGATTTAAAATATTTTAAATTATTCATAACTGATAATTGTCTACATATGGATGGATAATTAAACTGTCGTCTTTCGGTGTGCTTTAGTGCAAGTTTTTTCTTTATACTTGAAAAATAAAGAAATCGTCATTGAAATTGATGTAGTCAATGTGACACCTGTTTGTATCCTATGTTGTTTTACGTATTCCATGCTTCATTAAAATATTTTTTATACGGCGTGAAGTAAATTATTTCAAAAATATCTAGTGACATTTGATATCGGAAAATATTCTCTTCGATGGAAATTTGCAAGCCTGTTATGCAGTAAGATTAAGAAAAAAAAACTTAAAATTAACGCGTATTCGCTTGTTTAATCCTTAGACTCGCTGTTTAAGCTTTTGGTCACTTTATCAGTTTTAAATTTTCTGATATGTGGACAATTACAAGGCATATAAACTTTTCTCACTATTGATGAGTATAAAAAAACCGCTTTTCAAAAACTTTTATCGCAGATTGAGTGATATTTTTTAGTTTTATTGAAAGTGTATTTTTTTTTTTTTTTTTTTTTTTTCCTTAGAGTTTTAGTTTATATATCGTTTTTTTTATCTTTTGGAAATTAATTTTCACAAATCAGAACGTAAAAATATTCATTTAAAAGAAAACTTAAAATTGATCCTTTTTTCTTTTTTTTTTTTTTTTCTTTTTTTTCCCCACATAGATCGGATATGCTGTTTTTAGTTTTATTTCGGTTAATTAAACGATCAATTATATTGTGGTAAGGGATTTTAAAAATTTTAGTTTAGCCAATACTATCGCTTCCTTTATAAACAGTCTTCATATATCTGTGAAGACTTATGGTGCTTTCTAAATTTTGGCACTACATACTAGTTCACTTATATCATACTACAGATGGATTCTCGGTCCATAATTGTTGCAGCATAAGTTGCCTGCAATGTAAGATATTAGCTTTTAACTATATGTAAAAGATATAACTTTAAACATTCTTCAAATTAGCTTTTTAAAGAAAAATTTCTATTTCAATGACAAATTTGATTATTTTTGAACATGTATCTTGGATTTATTGCTGGTTGGATTAAGCATCCTGTAAATTTACCTGATTTTTGTAAACTTAGAGAGGGGGAAAAATAACATTTTATGTTAACTCTTTTAAAGGTCGATGGAAGAGAATCAAGCACCTTCTGACAGTTATAGTGCAGGATGTGATGTCATTGAGGTAAGTTTGAGATTTAAATAAAATTTTTGCATTGTGTTTAAGATTTATCTTCAATAAACAGTTAATCTTTGATTTTAAACATTGTAATTACAGAGTAACTGGGATGAAGTTGTTGAAACATTTGATGACATGAACCTGAGGGAAGCATTACTTCGTGGTATTTATGCCTATGGTTTTGAAAAACCTTCTTTAATCCAGCAGAGAGCTATTGTACCTTGTATAAAAGGTTAGTGTTTGTGTATTTTGTTTCTTAGCTTATTGGAAAATTATAATTCTATCAACATTTTTACCATCAAATGTTAATTTATTTCTGATTTGTAGGACTTGATGTTATTGCTCAGGCTCAGTCTGGAACTGGAAAAACTGCCACGTTTTCTATTGCCATTCTTCAGAAGCTTGATGTTGCTCTCAAGGAATGCCAGGCTTTAGTTCTGGCTCCTACTAGGGAATTGGCACAGCAGGTAATCTAATGGTTCCATTTTCTTTTAACTGTTTTTAATGCAATACTTATTTGTCCTTATAGTAAAATTGATGTAACTTTAAAATGTTTACTATCTAAAACTTTGTTTCTGCCTATATCGGTTTTATTTCTGAGCAAAATCTATGCTGGTGAATCACTCTTGCTCAAGTAGACAATCCTTCAGACTTCAATATTATGTATACCATGAAGAGCTTATTTATTCTAAAGTGTACTTTCTAATAAGCTTTGAAGTGATTACCTGATAGATAACACATACAATAGAGAAATGTTCTCAAATTGTTTCATTTTGTCCTGTAGTCAGATTTAACTCTTGATTTAATTATGATTTATAGATTAAATTTATATATAAACTTAAAAAGCAAATACATATTTAATATGCTTGTTTTCTTATGAAAGTTTTTTTTTAATGTAATTTATTAAACCTCTTGCAGATTCAGAAAGTTGTCCTTGCTCTAGGTGACTATATGGAAGCTCATTGTCATGCTTGCATAGGTGGAACGAATGTTCGTGATGACAGAGTGAGGTTATCACAAGGTGTACACACAATTGTAGGGACTCCTGGGAGAGTACATGATATGATCAACCGTGGATACCTTAGTAAGTTGACTTGTTTTCATTAAATTTGAATATGATGGTTCTAAACATTTTTCAATCTTTTATATTCCAATGACTTTTCAATCTGGTAATACTTCTATTCAAACTATCTTAAATGATTATTTAATAACCAAGATTTGTAGGGAAAATATTTAAACTGATTTCTCATTTTAAGCAATTTCATTAACTTTTCAAAATTTCTTTAGTCAACTTTGTTTAATACATTAAGATAAATTGCATTTATAAATAATGCTGCATGGATTTTGTTTATCATGAATTCAAGATATAGGTTTTATGCATATGTTTAATTCAGTACATACTTGTTTTTTCTTTTAGAAACAAACTACATTAAGTTGTTTGTTTTGGATGAGGCTGATGAGATGCTCTCTCGAGGTTTCAAAGATCAAATTTACAATGTGTTCCGTTGCATGCCCGAGAATATTCAGGTAAGTAGCAGTTGTTTACTATCTTTTATTAAAGTATTTTTCCTCTAAAGTAAAATTCCAGCAGCTTATTGTCCAAATTTTGTCATTTTTATAAATTCACTTGGCTTAGATTATTTGGCTATTTAGACATTTAGGGTTTTCCATACTGTTCTATCACACTTTTTAGCTTCAGTATGTTAATTGGAGTGTAATTTTTTTTTATTCTATAAGCTTTTAATCTTAAATAGAGCTACATTTCATTTTTAAATTATGCTGCATTTGGGTGTTTTTATTCAGGTTCTATTGTTATCAGCCACCATGCCTAAAGATGTCTTTGATGTTACAACTCGATTTATGAGAGATCCTGTCAAGATCCTGGTAAAGAAGGAAGAACTTACCCTTGAAGGTATCAAACAGTTCTACATTCAAGTAGAGAGAGAGGTAAGTCACTATGAAGTGCCTATTCATTTCAATTTTTTTTATTAGTTGTGAGCCATTTCTGATTTACAGTTCCACATAATCACTAGAATGAACGGCAACTAATTTTAAAAGATCTTTAATGATCATGTTATGTTAATTATTGCTGAATTTATTTATAAAGTAGTTCACATACATGTGAATTCAATATAATTACAGTCTTGGCATTCCTTTTCTTCCATTCCTGATGAATGTGTACTCTTGTTATAATTAGTAAATTTGAATTACTTCGAATGGAATCTTTGAACCAATTTGGACATTTTGGTATGTAAATAAGTGGGTGTTTTTTGATATGTATTTTTTTTTTAATATCACTTCTCTTAAAACTTAACTCTAGGAGTGGAAGTTGGACACATTGTCGGATTTGTATGAAACATTGACCATTACTCAGGCCGTGATATTCTGTAATACCCGCAGAAAGGTAGATTGGCTTACTGACAAAATGTTGGAGAGAGATTTCACAGTCTCTGCTATGGTAAGTAGAATCTCTATTGTAATTTTAGTGTCATGATTCAAATTTATGAAAATGACTAATCTGTAATCAACACTGCTCATAAAACAGGTGTAATAAAAGATTTTTATAAATATTTGATACAGGATCATACTTTTACTTTGTATTGGTGCTCATGAAGTCATTTCTGTAACTTGTATAGTCATATTAACTTTAATTTGCTATACTCTTGCATTGGCTTTGAAACATTTTATTTTCAGCATTTTTCAGTTTCTTTTGCAACTTTGTCAATCTAAAGCAGTAAATAAAGATTTTGGAAATATTCTTTGTGAGACTCTAACTGAAGTTGTAGCTCAATCAATTACTACAGCTGAGACATTCAATCATGCATATTGAACACTTGGTTTGAATTGCACAGTTTTCCCTTTATCTGATCCAATTGACTAAGCTGAAAGAAAGAGCAACTTAAAATTAAGATGAAAAATACTAGTCAACGTGCCAACCAATTTTTGTTGGAAAGAAAAACAATTTAGAAATTTCTGGAAAATGTGAATGGGTTTATGGTATTTAAATATAAAAAACATTTTTAATTGAATAATTTAAGCCAATACAAGTAATTAAATAAGTTGTTTGCTGGACATAAATTATCGTTCTGTTGGTGGTTTTACAGAAAAACATTTTTATCTTCCATTGTAGTTTCATGAGTCTTATGTCATTGTTTTGAGATTAACAAATACCTTTTTCTTATATAAAGTTGCTTTCATTACTTATCAGAATTTAACACATCAATGTAAACATTTTTTTACAGTATTATTTGTCTTAACACATTAAAGACATTTGAAATATCTATGTACTTATAAAATTTGTGGAATTGCTCATTAATTTTTTTAATTGTTACAGCATGGCGACATGGACCAAAAAGAAAGGGATGTCATTATGAAAGAATTTCGCACAGGCTCCAGCCGTGTCCTCATTACCACAGATTTACTTGCTCGTGGAATTGATGTGCAACAAGTCTCTCTGGTCATTAATTATGACTTACCAACAAACCGGGAGAACTATATCCATCGGTAAGTCTTGTCATTTTTTTCCTATTTCTTTTTTAAAGATGCTTTTTAAATGACTTTTTTATATTTTTAAAAATGATTATATTTCTTTGTCTAATAAAGTTATCTTTTACTCTTATTTTCAGTATTGGCAGAGGAGGCCGATTTGGTCGTAAAGGTGTTGCTATCAACTTTATTACTCAAGATGATATTCGTACACTTCAGGACATCGAACAGTTTTATAACACTGTAGTTGATGAGATGCCAATGAATGTGGCTGACCTTATCTAAAATTGCTATCTCTGAGCAAGTATACAAAGTAATCTGGAAGACATTTTGTCATTATCTGTCTGCAGATCATGAACTTCCTAAAACTTTTCCAAAGAAAGATTTCCTGGAAAAACATTAACAAAAAATTAAAAGAAAAAGAAAAAAATCCCTTGGTTGTCTTACTGACTTGTTCCATGTTTCTTGTTAGCCTAGTTATTCTCTAGCCATTTTTTCTTGCTGTAGAGCAAACATGGCAGGACATGAAAAAAGAAGAAATTTTTATATATATATATATATATATATATATATATATATATATATATATATATATATATAAAATAAATAAATTCCCAAAGAGGCCATAGGTATTGTAAATACTTCCTCTTTCTCCAAAGACCTTATTAAATTTACCTAATAACCTGTTCCTGCTCCCATATTACTGACTGGGCATTTGATTAGGCACATTTTAATACCATTTTGGTGTGCATGTATGTGTATTTGTGTGGTTGTAAATTTTTTTTTTTTTTTTCCTCTGGCACACTTGTTAGAAAGCTTTTCTAAAATATATTCGTGGTTCTCTTCCTTCCCTTCTCTCCATTCTTGTTCAAATCATTCCATACAAAATTACTGTGGATTAGGTTTGTTGTGGCTGTTTGTTGCTGCTTCAACTGTCCCTTAAGTACTACATATGGACATCTTTAAAGAATAATCTAGTACTTGAAGAGTTTGGCTTCTCTGTTAATTAGTTGATTTTTCTCAGCTAATGTCTTTTAATGACTTAATTGCATGTGTGCCCTTTTCCCTCCACTTAATTTCAAACTTATTTCTGCTGTTTCTCTCTTTGCTCTGTATATATTTAGTGTCTGCATGTCTTTTCCCTGTGCTGTGTTGCTGTAAATATGTGCATTAGGACATGTATATGCAAATAGCCAAAGTTGCTCTTTCACTTCACAAGCAGCACAGGGCAATGTATGTATGTATCTTATTAAATGACCAGTCAGTAAACCTATTACATTTTGACAGCTTTTTTTTTTTTTTTTTTTTAATTCTTTGGTTCCCCCTGAAAGCTTCTCTTCTAATCACAACACATGCCAACACACCAAACCAAAACAAGAGGTCACTTTTCATTTCATCATTGTTCACTTGTAAAAAGCTGAATTTTGCTGCATTTTAGCAAAGCTTGACAAATTCCAAATTAGATTTGTTTTTAACATTAAATTTGCAGGACACCAAGGATTGCCTTTGCTAATGCAACTGTATCATTGGTTTAAAATTTACCAAACCAAGTATTGCTCTCGCTCTCTCTCATCCTTCCTCTCTAGTTGTCTTTTCTACCAGCTTTCAATCTTGCTGGTAGTAAAATCCTGTTACAGCCTTTATTTTATTTATTTTTAAAATCTTCTTCCCACTCTATCTTGCTCAAGGAGGGATGAAAATTTTCTTGCAGAATTTGTGAGTTAAAATTCTGGGAAGGTTTTCTTGATATTTTTTCTTTTTCAGAGGGAGTGTTGATTATAAATGCACACCCATGCTAGTGCCATTCCCACTGGGATCTTTTGGTTCTGGTACAAATCAAAGTACACGTACATACTCAGTCATGCATGCACACACAGAAACACAAAACATTGCTGCAGCTGGGGTGTATTGTTCTGTAATATATTAGACTGAACAGCAGATCAGTCACAATCTCTGAACTCCAATGGCTGTTGCTACCTGACATGTTTCAGGAACTTGCTACTGTAAGCTATATTTGCTGAACAGTAAGGATCACAAGTGATCATAATTTTTTTTTTTTTTTTTTTTTTTTCCTCCATCAAACACTCTTGGTTTTGTCCATTGTTGATCTACAAATGCTGTTTTTGAATAATTCATTCAATAAAAAGGGGTATTTTCATTTTTCAGTTCATTTTTTTTTTTTTTTTTTTTTTTTCTCTTTATGCATGTTCTCAAAGTTAAGTATGCAAATTCTCTATCAATTCTCAAAGCCTATGTTCAGTAGATTGATTCGAGCTGGGATATATATTTTTTTTTTTTTTTTTTTTTTTTTTTCAAGTGCCTATAAGAGTTGAAAGTTGATTCTGAATCTCCAGGAATGATATGATTTTTTATTTTACATACTTAATTCAAAATTAAACTTAAGTTAACATTTTTGGCTGCAAATCCTAAGCTTCTATGTTCTCTGCTGATTGAGGATTTGTTGATTTAAAAATTGTATGAATTTGAATATTGGTTAAATAGCTTTAATATTTTAATGCTTTACTATTTATTTGGTAAATCTTGACTTTTTTTTTTTTTTTTTTTTTTTTTCTTAAGATCAATAAATAAAAAATAATTTAGAAATTTTGTCTTAATTCTAAGTTTTATCAAATTTATATTTGTCATCAATAAGATGTTTTGTTTTTTTTTAGGGCTAAGCAAAGAATCACTTTACCTACCTATTTTGTTGCCCTAGGTTATATAGTTTGAAATCTTTCAGATATGATGCAAAGAAATGTAATAATTATTAACTATATAATTGAGGATCTGAAAGTCTTAAGAACAGTATATAGCTTTGTCTAGGGTATATTTTACTATACATGACTTTGGTTGTTTGCTTAGCTTTCAAAAATTAGGTATTTTGAAATGTTTAAAACCTTGAATACTTTTTTAATAGCTTTTTTTTTTTTTTTTTTTTTTTTTTTTTTTTGACAAGTTTCAATTTTGTATTGGGCCACTTCATAAATTGTAGATAACTGCTTAAATCTATGCTGGAAATTTAAGCCAATTGAAATTGATTTCCACCTTTTGGTCATGTTTGTCTATAATTATGATTGGATAATCTAGTTACAAAATAGATCATATAATTACTATTTTTTTTTTATTTTTTGTAATAACTGCGTTTATATATAAAAATTACACACACATCCATCCTGTATATGCAGTAATACTAAAACATTTTAACTACTAAATTTAAATTCTGTGGTTTCTACTAAAACTCTGGCATAAGAATTTCAAATTTGAAACAGTTGGTATTCTTAGACTTTTGAATCCTATAATTGATTTCTGCTCTGATATCAATTTTTAGACAGGCATCCACCTCTGCTTAAATTTGGGATTTCTAAATTAAAAAAATAAATAAAATAAAATTCTATCTATACAAGAAAATAAAATGTACAGAATTATCCTTTCTGCTAGAATTGGCAATTTGAAACTTATTTTTCAAACTTGCATATGTTTATATTAAAGCAGCTATTATCACATTAGTTGTAGCTTTCTTTACCCATGTCTGAATGTGAAGGCCATTTTAAATTTCTAAGTCACATGGGACAACTGAAACATGGATGATCAACCCACAAAGACTAATATTTAGAATTAAAACTTTTATAGTAGACAACACTACTATAAATTTACTTTAAATAATTTGTGAATTAATGTAATTATTTATGTGCAACATCATTCAAAGATTTGGTTTCTGGCAAGATTTGAACACTCCTGTCTTTGTTATAGATGCTGCCTTATATGATGGAAAACCAAATTTAACATGGTATATTTGCCTGTGAAAATAAATTACAAGCAGTTAGAACCCCAGAAAGATAGCTGATATGATCAGCAATTTCAGCAGGGTGATATAGTCAATTTTATGTAATGAGAGCAAAATGTATAACACTTGCTGAACTATGTACAAGGAGCCCAGCTTACTATGCATTTTCTAATGCAATAATCTTTGACCAACACCAGAAAGTGAACATGAGGAATGACAAGTGACTGTGCAGGACCCCACAGATACCAATGCTAATGTGCGCTACTTTTCCCACTGGGCATTAGGCTCTGACTCTAGGTGGAGACTAATCTTGACAAGAATCTACTCCTTCACATGGATTTTTATCTTGATTTAATTTCCTCTGGACTATTACATGGAAAGATCAATTGGTATCCTACAATACATATGACTTCTAAAAGGAACTCATCATGGATGTGGTAGCCAACATGAATGAGAACCATCTGATCTCCACCTGTGATCACTTCTAAGGCTAACATTGGTTTTAATGAATAACCTTTTTACAAACAGTGAGTACAAATTCTTGGAAAATATACTATTTTTTTTTTTTTTTTTTTTTTGCTTTATAGTTTTCTTGATTACCTGGTGCATTCTGTGGGTGTAGAAAAGTTGGGAAATTAGACTAGTATTAGAAAAATGGATTTTAATTTAATACTGGAAAGTGGAATATTTTAACTTAAAAAAAATGTTAAAATTTAAAGTAAAACTCAAGCATTTAGATGCTTAATATGGACCGCATTTCTATAATGTAAATTATTAAATTCTTTCTACTGATACTGGATCACAAACATGTATTGACACCATTTGTATTTTTTTATTTTAGCTTTATATTTCTCATGAAGTCTCATTTTTTTAATTGGTGGGAGGAGTAGATGTGTTAGGCAATAAAGTACAGAATTTGCTGCATTTAAGTATTGCATTAATATTTAAGCTTACCTTTTGAAAGTTCAATAATTCTTCTGTTACCACTTAATTTGATGTATGTGTAGGTCCTTACAATTCTATTTCATCGGTGACTTTTTCTGGATTTCTCAGCTTTGATTATCCCAAAATTTATTTCCAAGTTATGGAAATTATTCAGGTAATTTTTAGTTATGCACCCTTTACATTAAGCCATTGATTAATCTGTGAACACCTCATAAAAACCCACTTTCATGTTAAAAATGCTTTTCTGTGATTTTTAAACTAAAAGCATTTGTTTTTAATTCAAATTAATGAAACTTTAAATCAGTTAATCTTCCTGAAATTTTCAGGAAAGTATATTTTATTTTTGAAAGGTTTATCAATATGGCCAAATTTAGGGATTTAATTTTTTTTTTTTTTTTTTTACATTCCAATCAATTTAAATTTGGTTTGTAATACAGCAAAGTATTTTGCTAAATGGAAATATTAAACAATTTATTAGCATGGAATTAAAACCAGATTTAAAGGTTTCTTGGGCTGAGAACTTTTCAGCACACCTCATAAACTCAAAGGTTTAGTT